GACCGGCGCGATGAGGTGAATGCCAGCAAGCAGAGCGTGGGCCGCTCAAGGCGTGCAAAGATGATCAAGAAAGAGATGACAGCGCTGCGGCGGAAGCTGGCCTACCAGCGGGAGACAGGACGGGATGGGCCTGAGCGGCATGGCCCCTCGAGCCGAGGCAGTCTGACACCCCACCCGGCAGCCTGTGACAAGGACGGGCAGACCGACAGTGCCGCGGAGGAGAGCAGCAGCCAGGAGACAAGCAAAGGTCTGAACCCCTTAGCCAGGTGGACCCCAAAGCAAGTTAGACTTTGGCTCTGCAGTGCACACTCAGCCCCTGCCACCCCCAGGCAGAGGTCCCTCCTACATAGCTAGCTCACCTTCTCTCCCTCATCTGCAGTCAGGGCCTCTTAGCTGCCTTTCTGGCTACCTGTATAAGAGTCAATATTCCATAGTCCATGCCCCCCAAATCATCTGCCCAACTCTAGCTAGAGTAATGGTCTTATATACCCAGGACATGATCCTGGACATCTGCCCTTCTCACATCAGGCCCCTCACCAACTCTGCTTCTCTCTTTCTCTGCTCCAGGCCTGGGTCCCAACATGTCCTCAACCCCCGCACATGAGGTGGGCAGGAGAACCTCAGTTCTGTTCTCCAAAAAGAACCCGAAGACAGCTGGACCGCCCAAGAGGCCGGGCCGGCCCCCCAAAAACCGGGAGAGCCAGATGACCCCCAGCCACGGAGGCAGTCCTGTGGGGCCCCCCCAGCTCCCCATCATGGGCTCCCTGCGTCAGCGCAAGCGGGGTAGGAGCCCCCGGCCCAGTTCGAGCTCAGACAGCGACAGTGATAAGTCCACAGAAGACCCCCCAATGGGTGAGCCTTACCATCACCCAGCCCCCCAAGAGAGTGAGCAAAGCTGCCATTCCTCCTAGCATACTCCCAGCTACCCTTCTTCTGCCCATAAAAGACAGAGCTAGGAGGGCCTTTAGGAATCCTTTAATTCCATCCTCTCATGTTACAGTTGGGAAAACTGAGGCCCAGAAACACTGTGACCCAGTCAGAGTCCCAGTCAGGGCCCCCTCCATTGTATCACTTCACCTTTTCTCTTCTCACCTTCCTTGGGGATCTCCTGCCCTTTAAGCCATTTGTGTCCTAAGGCCAGTAACTGCCAGGGGAAGCAAGGGGTGGGGTGGGGTGGGGTAGGGCTGTGGCCAGTTGTGGTAGACACTGCCCAGAACTAGCTCTGCTGGCCAAAGTTGAACTTTCCAGCACTAAAGGGAAACCCAAGCTCTAAGACCCTCTTGCCCCCATGTCATCTCTGACCTACATCTTCCTGACCGGTTTCTTCCCTCCTCCCCTTCCTCTGAACCAAGACTTACCAGCCAACGGCTTCAGCGGTGGAAACCAACCAGTGAAGAAGAGTTTCCTGGTATACCGGAATGACTGTAGCCTTCCCCGGAGCAGCTCAGACTCCGAATCCAGCAGCAGTAGCAGCAGCAGCGCTGCCTCAGACCGGACCAGGTACCAGCCCTCCAGCTCAAGGCCAGCCTCCGGGAATGCCCTTCCAAGGGTCATGGGCCTTTTTCTAGGTTTCCCTGTTGAAGTGGGGGGGACAGCCACCTCAGCTTCGGTTAAGATGGCTCAGACCCAAGGTTTTCTGCAAAATAAATGGGATAGATCGGAGTGTCACCATAATGCAACAGAGGGAACCATCTTGGGGCAAAGGGATGGCTTAGAAGAGAGGGTATAAAGTGCTACCTTTTGTAGCCTCCATTGGGCCAGCAGACCTCTGTTTGTCTAGCATGGTGTTTTAAAGCAGTGAGTCCAGGAGTACTACACGAAATTCCCAATCTCTGTATTTTCTCTAAAAATCACAAAATATGGTAAATCTGTCCAGTACCACTTATAGACAGAACATGCACTCCTCTCTCCTCTCTGCTCAATTCTGCCAACCCCATTCAGATCATCAACCTCGCCTCCAAGGACATTAGTTTGAAATTCCTTATAGCTTCTGCTTTCCAAAAGTCTCAGGCCGTGGGGTACTACGGTGCCATTCCCCATTCTCTCCTTTGAGCTGAACTTTGATTGTCTCGCCCACAGCACAACGCCCTCAAAACAAGGCCGCGGCAAGCCCTCCTTCTCTCGAGGCACATTTCCAGAGGACAGTAGTGAGGATACCTCAGGCACTGAGAACGAGGCCTACTCCGTGGGCACTGGCCGCGGCGTGGGCCACAGCAGTAAGTACCCTCGCCCAAGGCCAGGGATGCTGGGGACCCAGTGTCAGGGCCTTGCCAGCCCCCCAGCTGCTGATCCGCCCCCTCTCTCCCATTCCTGTGAAGTGGTGAGGAAGAGTCTGGGCCGGGGAGCTGGCTGGCTGTCAGAGGATGAGGACTCCCCTCTGGACGCTCTGGACCTCGTGTGGGCCAAATGCCGAGGGTATCCATCATACCCAGCTCTGGTAGGCTTCTGCTTCTCTTGTCACGCCCCTTGCTTTCCAACCCCAGAACTGGGAGTCAAAATTAGCAGCCTTCTACTCCCTGCTGAGCTATGGAACACACAAGGTTCCCTGGCAGATCGACTGGTAGGCTGCTGCAGCTTAAGTACCACTCAGAGGCTCCCAGACAGTTTCTCCATCTCTAATTTTCCCTTCTATGTGCCCCTTGGGCTTTGAAATAATTTGGCGTGGGAAGCCAAGGGTCAGCATCGCAGCCCTAGTAGCATGACATCCTTTTTCTGTCCCCATCTGAGATGTAGTCGCCACATTCTAAGGTAGGGCAAGCCTTGGGGAGAAAGTGGACTGAACCAAACTGGGCTCTTATTATACCCTCAGATCATTGATCCAAAGATGCCCCGAGAAGGTATGTTTCACCATGGGGTTCCCATCCCTGTGCCCCCACTGGAGGTGCTGAAACTTGGGGAGCAGATGACCCAGGAAGCCCGAGAGCATCTCTACCTCGTTCTCTTCTTTGACAACAAACGAACCTGGTAAGGAAGGAGGGGAGAGTGTGGTGTGATTCCTAGCCACAGATACAGCCCTAGGTGATAGGTGTCTATAAACTTCAGCAATAGACAGGCTGAACCTCACAAATCAGTGAGAGAGAGAGAGATGTAGGGGTTGTGTTGACCGTGAGTCTGAGAGGCTGAGTAGGATGTAGCTTACAGACTGCTGTAGCCATAGAAGTCAAAGCACTGTCAATGACTATGACAAATATGGGGGTGGCTCCCACCCAGATTCAGATGGCTTCTACACTTAATTTTCTTACCTCTGCCTCTACCAGATAAAGGTAAAGCAGGTATAAACATTAAGGCTCTGAATCCCCATCTGTCAAATTCACATATGTAGCCTTTTTGTTAATTATCTGCAGAAGATATTCAATGTCAGTAAAGCGTGTCTGGAGCCTATGGGACAGGATACACATTTCCAATTAGGTCAGGGCTCTCCCTCTTTGCGCCCATAAATATTCTTTGTTACCCCCTATTCCTCCCAGGTTAAGCATTGACTGGGTTCTTTTTATCACTAGACTGTGAGCAGATCCTTAAGGGCGAGGACTGTGTCTGTTGTGACCCCAGTGCCCACCAGTCTGGCCAGAAAGGTTGCTCGGAGGTGTTTTTGAATGAATGCAGGCTGCTGGTGGTATTCTCTCTGAGATGATGTGTTTGATGTACAACTTGTCCTATAGGCAGTGGCTGCCCAGGACCAAGCTGGTTCCTCTGGGTGTGAACCAGGATTTAGACAAGGAGAAGATGCTGGAGGGCCGCAAGTCCAACATCCGCAAGTCAGTACAGATCGCCTACCACAGGGCTCTGCAGCACCGCAGCAAGGTGCAGGGTGAGCAGAGCAGCGAGACCAGCGACAGTGACTGATGACTGCCAGCACAGCGCAACCTTCAGTGCCCTATGACCTCTCCTTCCCTTTGCTCACTGACCTGGAGTGGCACCGGCCTCTGCACTGACTCATTCCTGGTCTTGGGGCCAGTCTCAGGGGAAGCTGGGTGGGGGAGGTCCCTCCTGCCCTGAGTGCAGCTGGACTGTACAGAACACTCCAAGGGCCCATGGCAGCGCAGCGCAAGAGGGAATATCCCACAGGTTTAAATAGCTCCAGAGACCTCAGCATTGTAGGGCAGAGTGGTGGGCCAAGGTTAGGACACTGCATAAAACAGGCCATCCCACCACCTCTGCCTGCTCATGCCAGGAAAATCCCTAACTGCCTAGAGACCTGAGGCCCCTGCAGGTAGTGAGATGACCAGACATCTGCCCAGCCTAGCAGTGGAACTGATGTCTGTCTAGCCTGGAAGAGGGGCACTAGGTGACCCCCTCCCCTGCTGTTGTAAATACTGTAATTATCGGAGAATTTAAATTATTCTCATTTGTAACTGCGTTTCCGGGTCGCGCCAGAGTCATTTGGTACTAAAAATAAACTGGGGCTTGTCCCCACATCCCTTCTCTTTCCCATAGATTTCCCCCACCTTTCAAACTTGTTTGTATTTATTTCAAAGGAAGAAAATATATTGATTCTTAGAAAATAAACAGTCTATTTAGAGTTCTTTGTTCTTGCCTTCTGCCAGAATATGGGGCTACAAAGGGCGGTTCTGTGCCCCAAGGACAGTAGGTAATTGGGCCCAAGTGAGTGCTAACTGCTGTGCTTGCTACACAAGACAATTCCCAATGCACTTACTGAGTGATGGGCCCATGCTAAGCCCTTTTAGATACAGGGTTGTGTAATCCTTGTATCTTTTGGGTGGGTTAACAATAGGATGGTTATCTCCACAAAGATACTGAGGTTTAGAAAAATGAATAACTTCCCTAAGTCCCCACAACTAGTGGTAAAGCTAAGATTTGAATTCAGGCCTGTCTGTTTGCCAAACTGGCTCTTCAGATGTGGAACAACCAGAGTCACCTGCAGATTCTTTCCCTGACTTCAGAGCCTTCAAGATTTTTGCCAGTAGCATGGCCAAGTACTAAAGAGAAGTCACTACAAGGAACCGTTCCCCCTGCTTAACTGGGAATAGAGCAGAGATGTAGTGAGGCCCTCCATTCAGCTCCAACCCTGGCACCTTCTCACATTTGTTGAAACATTTGTTGAAAGAACCCCTTCCAAGTGCTAGGCACCTGTTGGGGAGCATGCCTATAGATGACAATCACTGGGAGAAATGGTTGCCTGAGGTCTTGCAGCTGCTGAGGCTGTGGAACGGAGACAAAGCCTGCATTTGTCTGATGATGACACCATGCTCATGGTGCACCCTGCCAGGTATTGGGAATGGAACACAAAGATTGAAGTCAGCTGCAGATCTTGCCCTTCAAGAAATTGCAGTCTAACCATTCATATACAACAACCAAAAAATCACTATGTTAGAGGTGAAAACAGTCCACATAAAGTCAACGTCTCCTAGCTCCTTGTTTTTTTTTTTTCCCTGTCTCCAGAAGGCAATTACATAATACATCTTTCCTGGGTCCAGGCGGCTGGCACAGGCAACTGGACTAGGCAGGCTGCCTCACAATCACACATTTGTACTTGAACTCAACTTAATGAGCTGTCTTAATGGGCTTCTGGGCCCAGCTCCAGCGAAAGCCCCTGCACAGGCGCCATTAGACCTAGCGGTGTGAGCTGGTGGAGAACTGTAGAAGGCATGCCCAGGACTGACGGGAACAGCTGTGGCTGCCCACACGCTGAGGCTGAGGCAGGAGAATCCCAAGGCCCTCCATTAGGAGGCCTCTGAAGGATTGGCCCGTGAGGCCTGAGACTGCGAGTCCTGGCTGGGAGAGGAGGCCTAGGAGGGGCAAGCTGAGCCGGCCAGAGCTGAAGAGAATTCTCCGGTGGCGTGGAGGCACTACCAAGGGCGCCGAAGGACGGAGATGAGTCCGATTCTTGGTGAAGAGGGGCTCAAGAGTGGCGGTCCGAGAAGGGAGACTCGAAAGAGAATCTCCTAGAACAGGATGAGGAACGCCTTGGTTCCGACGGCGGATAAACCCTGAGAAGTCGAAGGACTCTGAGGAGCCCCGACGGAAGAACTGAGCCGCAGCGCGCTGTGCAACCGGCCCGCAGAGCGCCAAGACAAGACACCCTAGCGGGCCGGGTGCACAGTCCCGGGAGGAAGTGCCAATTTGCAGGCAGACAGCCCAACACCCGCCAACCGCTTCGCAGCCTGGGAAAGGCCCGCCCACGCGCCGCCACGCCCGGTTTCTCATTGGCGCCTCTCACTTTCTCCTCGGATTGGCTACCTCTGGGTCGAATAGGCGGTGCTTGAATCTTATTTCCGGCCATAGAGAGGTCCGCTCCTAGAGAAGCCGGAAGTACATGCGCTGGCCAGCTTCCGAAAGTTCTGGCAGCTCCGGGGCAGCCGTACGCGTCGGGAGGCTCTGAGAGTTGAGGAGGTACGACAGGAGAAGGGGCGGGACCTACACCAGAGGAAAGGCCTGACTGGAGCAGGAAGAGGGGAATGAGGCGGGGCTCTGGTTATCTATAGGGGTCGGGACCTGCAGGGGATGGAGGAATTAAATAAGTGGGCGGGGCCGGAAACCGAGACTTAGGAGGCCAGAGCTAGATAGTCCTGGGGGCGAGGCCTCTGTGTGGGCGGAGCCTTTGGGCGCCTGTGGAGCTGTTTCTGAGTGGGCGGGGCCGTTATGGGCACAGAGTGGTGTGGAAATGTTATCCCGCTTTATTCTGCAAGGTAGCATGGGGCATCGTACTTTATCTTCCAACCCGGCTCTGTGGGCCTCCATCCCGTGTCCACGCTCTGAGCTGCGCCTGGACCTAGTTCTGGCTTCTGGACAGTCCTTCCGGTGAGTGACTGACCCTGGGAGAAACCTTGGGATGCAAAAGAGGAAACAGGGGGATTGAGCCTGTTACCTCTTTTTTTTTTTTTTCCTTTTTTCTGAGAGCTTTTGCTTTAGAGCGCATGGGCTTGCTACAGAGACAGAAAGTGAGAAATCATCCCCAGAGGGATGGCCATACCGCAATCCCATCTCCGTTCTCCTCTCTGGGTTTTTGGGAACGCAAGTGCACACACCTGGCCCGAGTTTCAAGCTCAGGATTCAAACCGTAGTCAACCACGTGGTAGTTCAGCGTCTTAATCACTACACCACCTTCTAGCCCCAAGCCTGATACCTCCTTTATAAAGTAGAGGTAGTGAGTCTCACCCGTGAGGATCGAGTACTTTTACTTTGAAATTAGTGAGTTTTCTAAGGGGAGGGGTTGTAGGATAGGCAGGACCAAGAGGGTGCAGAAAAGAACTGAGTGCTCGGACTGTCGTGTCCCTGGGGGCTTAGGTGGAGGGAACAAAGCCCTGGACACTGGAGTGGTGTCCTGGCAGACCAAGTGTGGACACTGACCCAGACTGAGGAGCAGCTCTACTGCACTGTGTACCGAGGGGACGAGGGCTGGGTGGGCAGGCCCACGATAGATGAGCTGGAGGCCGTTCGCAAGTACTTCCAGCTAGATGTCAGCCTGGTGCAGCTGTATCACCATTGGGCTTCCACGGACTCTCACTTCCAAGAGGTGGCTCAGAAATTCCAAGGTGAGTACAGGGCATGGGGCAAGGGTTAGGGTTCTTGCATGTTGACTAAATTACTTTCCTGTGTCTCAGTTTCCACATCTGTAAAATAGAGATTTTATCTACTTCATAGACTTTTACAAGGATTAAAGGAGCTAATCCATTCAAAGGGCTTAGAGTAGTGCTGGGCACATAGTAATGTATGTATGTATGTGTGTATTTGGAGAGGTTTTTGCTGTAGGGTGTGTGCACTCGCCAGAGTGACAGAAGGCAAGAAATCACCCCCAGGGAAGTTGGCCATGCCATAATCCCTTCTCCTCCATTCTCCACTTGGGATTTGGGGCACGCACACACGTGCCTGGCATATGAGTTTAAGGCACTGGATCCAGGACTCAAACCGCAGTTGACTACATGGGAGTCCACCGACGTAGCCATTGCACTATTTGCTGGCCCCTGGGCACATAGTAATTAATATTGCTGATCTCCATAGTGAAGGGACAAGGATCTCAAGCCCGATCTTGGCTGTGTGATCTGGGGCAGGTGACTTCCTTCATTCTCTAGATACAGACAGAACATTTGACGTGTGGCTGGGGATGCAGCAGTGAACAAAATGGACACAAATCGCGGCCCTCAAGGTGCCATGAGTCACAAGAGGCCTGGGGGTGCTTTCTCTTACAATGTGTCCCTCCTCCTCCTGGGATTCCCCCCAGCGCCATGTTGACTTGCTTCTGATCAGAAACTGGGAGGAGGCCTCTCCCAACAGCAGGTACTTCTCCCATCCCCGGCCTTTCTGTTCCCAGGGGTGCGGCTGCTGCGACTGGACCCTGTCGAATGCCTTTTCTCCTTCATCTGTTCCTCCAACAACAACATTGCTCGCATCACTGGCATGGTTGAGCGGCTATGCCAGGCCTTTGGACCTCGGCTCATCCAGCTCGATGATGTCACCTACTATGGCTTCCCCAGCCTGCAGGCCCTTGCTGGTGAGTGGGTCCCCTGCCCCCAGGCTCTCCGTGACCTTTCGGGATCTTCAGTTCTCCCCTGGTCACCGTCTTCCATCGCGAAGCTTCCCACTTTCCCAAACACTGCCTCCACCCAGAACCATCTTGATCAGCCCATTAGAACTCATTCTCCCTGTCCATCCCCGAAATGTTAACACCTCACTAGTCTGTGTTTTCTGCCTAATGAGCTCCATGCCTAATGAGAAAGATACCTGTATACAGTTATAGGATTTGGGGGTAAGGACATGTGTTCCAGCGACAGAATACCTGAGTATGAATCCCATCTCTCGTCACTTGGGACATTATTTAGCATCTCTGTGCTTTAGTTTCATCTACGAACTGGCATAATAATAGTACCTTCTCTCTTTTTTTTTGTATTGAGATTTTTTTACCATAGGGTGTGTACACTTACCAGAGAGACTAAGACAGAAAACGAGAATTCACCCCTCCCAAGGGGGGATGGCCCTTCTCCATTCTCCTCTCGGGATTTTGGGCATGTACACACATTCCTGGCACAAGTTTCAAGCTGCCAGGTCTGGGACTCGAACCATGGTCAGCCATGTGGGAGTCCAGCAATGCAACCATTATGCCGTCTACTGGCCCCAATAATAGCATCTTCTTATCAGAGTTGTCATGAAGGTTGAGTAAAGAAATACGTATACTGGGACCAGCAGATGGCATGATGGCTATGTCGCTGGACTCCCATTGTAGTCGACCATGGTTGGAGTCCCAGACCCCTTGGCTTAAACTCACGCTGAGCATGCCCAGGATCCCGAGAAGAGAACAGAAGAGAAGGGATTGCGGTGTGGCCATCCTGTCTAGGGGGTGATTTCTTGTTTTCTGTCTCTGTCTTTCTGGTGAGCATACGCACTCTATAGCAAAAAATCTCTCCAAAAAGAAAAAAAAAAGAAATACGCATACTGTACTTAGCACAGTGTTTGGCACACAGGAAGTATGCCGAAAATTCTAACTGCTCTCACTGCAGTGAACCTCCACAGTTTTGCATCCGAGAACATGTGTTCTTCACAGCAGCCCTGAGAGGCAGATATTTCACAGAGGCAAGTATATCTGTTGTCAGATTTGAGCACGAAGCTCAGGCAGTGCATGGGGATTCCATGGAAGAAGACAGCCTGCCTCAAGAAAAGGGACTGTTTTTAGTGCTAGAAACCTGGCCTTGAGTCTTAGCTTCTGGCTTCGTAGTCATAAGACTGCGAGGAGTTCATTCACCTCTCTGGGCTTCTCTTAACTTGTTTGTAGAATGGAAATAACAAAACCCTAGGAGGGCCTTGGAGGTGAATAAAGTAATCATGATGCAGGTGGTTTAGTGAGAGCACAGTCAGTTGGTATCTCTGGTATGAATGCAAGATCCCATCTCCACCATGGGATTTCCATGTGAGTTGTTTTTTTTTTAGAGGGTTATCATATTCAGTTTTATTTATTATTTATTTATTTATTTTAATTGGACCAAAGAGGGACAGAGAAAAAGAGAGAGAGAAAGTGAGAAAGCAAGCTGCCAGGTCCAGGACTTGAGCTATGATTGGCCAAGTGGGAGTACAGTGTCCTTAACCACCACGCCACCTGCCAGCCCCTCCACATGCTTTCTTGAGCAAGTTACTTAACCTCTTCTAAGCCTTCTTTTTCTCCATATGGAAAATGAGAAAAACAGAGGGCTGGCAGGTGGTGTGATGGTTAAGGGTGCTGGCCGCCCACATGGTTGACTGTGGTTCGAGTCCCAGACCTGGCAGCTTGCTTTCTCACCCTCTCGCTCTCTCTTCTCTCTATCCCTCTCTGGTCAAATTAAAGTAAATAAATAAAGTTAAATGGAATAATTTCTTTTTCTTTTTTTGGAGAGGTTTTTGCCATAGGGCGTGTGCACTCGCCAGAAAGACAGAGAGAGACAGAGAGACAGGAAGCAAGAAATCACCCCCCAGGGGAGATGGCCACGCTGCAGTCCCTTCTCCTCCATTCTCCTCTCGGGATCTTGGGCATGCACGCACACACGCCCTGTGTGAGTTTAAGCCTCCGTGTCCGGGGCTCGAACCACATTCGACTACATGGGAGTCCAGCGACATAGCCATTACGCTAACTGCTGGTCCCAAATGGAATAATTCTTGGGAAAAAAAAATTTTTTTTAAAGAGGTTTTTGCTATAGAGTGCGCGCGCTCGCCAGACAGACAGAAAGCGAGAAATCACCCCCCGCCAGGGGGGATGGCCACACTGCAATCCCTTCTCCATTCTCTTCTCGGGATCTTGGGCATGCACGCACACGCGCCCGGTGTGAGTTTAAGCCACCGGGTCTGAGACATGAACTGCGGTTGACTACGTAGGAGTCCAGTGACATAGCCATTACACTAACTGCTGGTCCCGAAAATAATTTTTTTTAAAAATGGGAAAAACAGGACTGTTGTCCAGGCCCTTAAGGAAAGTAAGCATGATAATGTACCTAAAACACTCTGCCTATGTGTGATAACCAATGCATAGTAATAGAAGCTGTCACTGTTACTGCGTTTTTAGATCACAGGTAAGAACACGCATTGGTGAGGTTAAGAAACTTACTGGGGGAGATCCCTCAGAGCCGTTAATCCTTCTCAGTCCCCAGACTGGAGTGGGCCCTGTGCCCAGCGTGTATTACTTGCTCAGAAAACACAGAGCCATTTGCAGAACCCAGGCTTTGACCGTCCCTCTCCACACGTAACTTCCTGCTGTCTTAGCAGGTGGTGTGGTAAGGAGAGGGCCACTTAGGAAGAGCATTCACATGGGGTGGGGGGCTCACCACTAGCACAAGGACAGGAAGGACTTGAGGATCCCTGACTCCTGCTCTCCTTACTCCCCACAGGGCCGGAGGTGGAGGGTCACCTCAGGAAGCTGGGCCTGGGGTACCGGGCCCGCTACGTGAGTGGCAGTGCCCGAGCCATCCTGGAGAAACAAGGTGGGCTGGCCTGGCTGCAGCAACTGCAAGAGGCCCCCTACGATGAGGCCCTCAAGGCCCTCTGCACCCTCCCCGGGGTGGGCACCAAGGTGAGGCCCCACTGAGGGCAGTGGTAGGGAGGGGCTGCCCCTCCCACTCTGAGGAGGAGAGTACATGATGAGGCAGACCTGGGAAGCTCCTTCTCAAAGCAAAGAGGAAGGAGAACAGATAAAAGCAGATTTTCTTTTTTGAGAGGTTTTTGCTATAGAGCACGTGCGCTCGCCAGAAAGAGACAGACAGAAAGCGAGAAATCACCCCCAGGGAGAATGGCCATGCCGCAATCTCTTCTCCATTCTCCTCTCAGAATCCTGGGTATGCACGCACACGCACCCAGTGTGAGTTTAAGCAACCGGGTCCGAGGCTTGAACCACAATTGACTACATGGGAGTCTAGCGACAAAGCCATTATGCCAACTGCTGGCCCCTTGTTTTTTGTTTGGTTGGTTTTTTTTTTTGAAGAGGTTTTCGCTATAGGGCACGTGCACTCGCCAGACAGAGACATAGAGACAGAAAGCGAGAAATCACCCCCCAGTGGGAATGGTCATGCCGCAATCCCTTCTCCTCTCGGGATCTTGGGCACACACGTACACGCACCCGGTGTGAGTTTTTAAGCCACCAGGTCCGAGACGCAAACCGCGTTCAACTACATGGAAGTCCAGCGACTTAGCCATTATGCTAACTGCTGGTTCCCCCCTTGTTTTGTTTTAAGAAAGAATTATTTAATTTAATTTTTTAAAAAGAGTTATTTATTTATTTATTATTTATTTAATTTTATTTATTCATTCATTTATTTTAATTTGACCAGAGAGAGAGAGAGGGAAAGTGAGAAAGCAAGCCACCAGGTCTGGGACTCAAACCATGGTCAGCCATGTGGGAGTGTCCAGCGCCCTACTCACCATGTCACTTGCTGGCCCCTTGTTTTTTCATTTTTATCATGCACTAGCCCAAGAGACAAGGAAACTGAGAAAGCATCCCCCCATGAGGAGTGGTCATGCCATAATCCTTTCTCCTCCATCTCTCTCTCCTCTCAGGATTTTAGGCACGTACACCCGTGTGCCCAATGTATTTCTCAAGCCACTGGGTCTAAGACTCAGATCACGTGGCTAGCTACGTGGGATCTAAACGCCTGAAGCACCGTGCCCTGAGCAGCCCCTCAGTTTTTCTCAGGTCTCAGGCCCAGTGTTAAGTCTTGGCCCACAGAGGTGTGTGCTCAGTAGCAGCTCTTGTCCCAGCTCTATTGGAAGTCACGGGTAGGTCATCATGTTTCCTGAGACCTGGAACAGCAGTGACCTCAGGTTGGAGGAGGCTGGCTGTGAGGTCGGAAGCAGGATGCCAGGATCTCCCATCCCTCCTCAATGGCTTACTCTGCCTCTGTCCAAGGTGGCCGACTGCATCTGCCTGATGGCCCTAAACAAGCCCCAGGCAGTACCCGTGGACGTCCACGTGTGGCAGATTGCCCAACGTGACTATAGCTGGCACCCCACCATGTCGCAGGCCAAGGGCCCGAGCCCCCAGGCCAACAAGGAACTGGGTAAGGAGTGGGATGCAGGGGCCGGCAGTGGGCTAGCTGGGTACTGGCCAGGCCTCCGTGTCTTAGTCACCTCTCCCTAAAACCACACCCCTGTTGATGGGGAGCAGGGGGGTCAGTTAATCATCATTTCTGATTTAGGAGACTTTTTCCGGAGCCTGTGGGGACCGTATGCTGGCTGGGCCCAGGCGGTGAGTGTATCTGGGCCTCCCCTCCTCCCCAAGCCCCACCACCTTGGACTCGTCGGCCTGTTCACCCCCAGGGGCCCTTCCACTGCACCACCACTCCAGGTGCCCTGAGGACTCTCCCATGGCACAGCCCAGGCTCGCTGCCGGAATATTCTACCTCCCCACACTCACCAGCCCCCTAGTGCTGACCCAGTGTACCCCTCCCTCCACTCAGACTCTGCTCCCACCCCCACCTGCAGGTGCTGTTCAGTGCTGATCTGCACCGACCCCACCGTGCTCAGGAACCACCCACAAAGCGCAGGAAGCGGTCCACGGGGCCGGAGCACTAAGTTCCCCAAATACCTTCCCCTCCCTTCCCCACTTCTCCCCCCCCATCTCCGTCCTGTCTCATGTGATGGAGGGGCTCCCTACAACTCCCTCAAGAGCCCAGCTCAAGCAGTCAGTTTTCACAAGACGGGGTGGGGGCTGTTGGGGGAGACAGCTGTCTGTGGTTTTATCTTCTTCCCTTTATTACAAGAAGGAACAATAAAATAGAAACATTTGTATGGAAAATGCAGTGAGGAGTGGTAGGGAAGGGGGCGAGGCAGGGCTGGGGTAGGGGAACTCCCCAGATCAGGCCAGGAAGGGGAACAGGCTGCCTCCAACCCTCCCCATGCAGGGGATCCTGACCCCAGATCCAGGGCCTCAGAGTTGTGGGGGAAGTGGGGCAGACAGTTCCGGGCCGGGCTCCACGCAGCAGTCTCGACAACAGCAGCCGGCCGCTGACCCTGCATGGGCAGAACAGAGCTGGCTAAAGGGGAGCCCCTCCGCACATCCCGGGCCACCCACGCCCTTCCCTGAGCCTCAGTGCTCACCCCCAGCAGTTGGTGTCAGCAGCTCCCCGTGGCTCGCCGTCTGTCCCTGCCCGTCTTGGCTGGTGCCCAGCTGCAGCTTCCTCATGTGCCGGACCACAGCCGTGGCATTGAAGGCTTGCTGCAGGAAGAGAGGCAGAGTGTGTCAAGAGCGCATGGGATCAGGGCTGCAGGCTGTAGTGGGATCCTTTTTTTTTTTTTGGAGAGATTTTTCACTATAGGGTGCGTGCGCTTGCCAGACAGACAGAGACATAGAGACAGAAAGCGAGAAATCACCCCCCATGGGGGATGGTCATGCCGCAATCCCTTCTCCTCCATTCTCCTCGGGATTTTGGGCATGCACGCACACGCGCCCTGCGTGAGTTTTAAGCCACCGGGTCTGGGATGCGAACTGCAGTCAACTATGTGGGAGCCCAGCGACATAGCCATTACGCTAACTGCTGGTTCCCTCTTTTTTTTTTTTTTGAAGAGGTTTTTGCTATAGGCACGTGCACTCGCCAGAAAGACAGAGACAGAGAGACAGAAAGCAAGAAATCACCCCCTGGGGGGAGGGCCACACCGCAATCCCTTCTCCTCGGGGGGATCTTGGGCACACATGCACATGCATCTGGTGTGAATTTAAGCCACTGGGTCTGGGACTCGAACTGCAGTCGACTACATGGGAGTCCAGTGACATAGCCATTATGGCAACTACTGGTCCCTCTTTTTACTTTTTTTAAAGAGATGTTTGCTATAGGGTTTATGTGTTTACCAGAGAGACAGAGACAGACAAGGTCAGAAATCACCCGCCAGGGGGGATGGCCATGCCACAATCCCTCTCGTCTTGGGATTTTGGCCATGCATGCACACACGCGTGGTGTGAATTTTAAGCCGCCAGGTCCGAACCGTCGTCAGCCATGTGAGAGTCCAGTGATGTAACCATTATGCCACCTGCTGGTCCCATGGGTGGGATTCCTGCAATGGTTCTGTTATTTTCAATCAGGTGCTATTTATTAGTTTCCCTAAAACCCCCAAACTTCTACAAGGTTTTGTTAAATTATATTGAGTCAAATTATATACTTACAGATATACCAAGGGTTTTCAAAAAACTCACGCAAGTGTACAATGTGAAACAAATGTGTGGCCAGCTCTGTGACCTGGAGGTTAAGGCAGCCAGGTCCAACATGGCCAACCGTGTGGTTCCCGGCCCAGCTCTGGCACCTGAAGTACACACCAGGTGCACACGCTTGTACACCCCAAATCCCAACAAGAAGTGGAGAAGAGATTGCAGTGTGATCATGCCCCTTGGGGGTGCTTGTTCCCTTCCTCCCTCCCTCCCTCCTTCTCTATCTCTGTCTCTCTCTCTGGCAACCACATGTGCCCTCTGGCAAATATTGGGTTGTCGAAAAAGTCATGACGTATTTTCTATGCTAAAGAGAACTGTGTCCTAAGAGTCCTTTCTAAAGGGCAAGTTCCTGCTTTACACTCTCTGAGTCTCCCTAGGGCCCTCAAGATCAAGTCCCAGGACTAGCAGGTGATATAATGGTTGTGTTGCTGGACTCCCCTGTAATTGACTGTGGTTAGAGCCCTGGACACAGGGGCTTACAAAAACTCATGCCAGGCACGTGTGCATGTGTGCCCAAAGTGCCGAAAAGAGAATGGAGGAGAAGGGATTGTGACGCGTCCATCTCCTATGGGGTGATTTCTCACTTGCTGTCTCTCCAGCGAGTGTACGTGCCCTATAGCAAAAATCTCTTTAAAAAGAAAAAAAAAAAAAAGATCAAATCTGTGCTCCACTGTGGCATTTGAGTCCCTGAGTGTTCTAGTCGCTAAGTGGCTTCTCCAGCCTGGCTCCTGCCTCTCAGTCCCCTCAGTCCCTGCAGCCCAGCCCCGCAGAGCTCTGCACTTCCTGAGTGGCTGCACTGTCTTGCCCCTGGCTCTTGGCACACCCATTTCCTCCCCTCAGACGACCTTCTGCTGTGCCAGGCTAGTAAATTCCTGCTCAGCTGATAGGCCTAGCAGATCAAACCACTTTTATAACCTTTCCGAGCCCCATAGGCTAGCTCAGACGCCTCCTTTAGAGTTACAGACTGTTCTGTTGGGATTAGCAGACAGCATAATGGTCACATTGCTGGACTCCCATGTAGTCGGCCACAGTGCAAGTCCTGAACTTGGCAGCTTAAAACTCAAGCCAAGTGCTTGTGTGTACATGCCCAAGATCCCAAGAGGAGAATGGAGGAGAAGGGACTGCAGTGTGGCCATTCCTCCTGGGAGTAGGGGTGATTTCTTGCGTTCTCTCTTTCTGTCTCTCTAGCAAGCACAAGTACCCTATGGCAAAAACCTCTCTTTAAAAATTTTAAAAAAGGAATTACAGACTTTTCCCTCTAAAGCGGGGACCCTCTCCTTCAGAAGAGAGTAAGTGTTAAATGAATGGACGAATGCAGTCCCTCGGCAAGCACCCCCAAGCAGTCACTGCGTGCCTGAGTTGCTGCCAGGTGCTGTGCAAGCTGAGGGTTGAGGGTGGGGAGGGGTCCTGGGAGGGCCAGAACCCAGGGTAGGGACATGGGCTCACCTTCCACTTGCTCTTGGCAAAGTTCTTCTTGATCTGCTCGCTCACTGACTGGTGGATATTCTTATCTAGAGCCGTATCTCCTGCAATCCTGGGGTGGGGTATGTGGAGAGTTGCCCATGAGGGCAGAGGCAGGCCTGGGCAGCCCAGAGCCCACCCGGGCCCACAGCTGTGGGAGCTCCTCACCATGGGTGCTGCAAGGCCTGCTCACAGGTGAACCTCTTCTCTGGATCCTTCTCCATCAAATGCCGGATGAAATCTTTGGCTGAACCCCAAGACAAAAGCGAAGACAGCATGGCAGTGCCTGTGGACACCACCCGAGACAGTACCCTTTCCCTCAGGCCTGACCTGGGGTCACAGCAAGACAGGCCAGAACTAGCCCTGCACCCCTCCACCCTCCCTCACCCAAGCCTTCCAGCTCATTCCTCCTCTCAAGAAAAACTCTGAGAGAAGAATCCACTCAGCGTGTTCACACGGATGTGTGAACAACTGAGAATGGTCCCGCTGGTTTGCATAGCAGAGGGCACAGAGGCGGGGATGGGAATGTTTCTGGTGGTGGTTAGCCATTCGCAAGTCAGCAGGGGAAGGTTATTTTCAAAAATGCCATGTTTAAAGACGATGAATGAATGCCTACAAGTTTCTCAGGCTGGGGACCAAGCAGAGGAGAGCACCCGGGTGGGCTGTGTGCTCTTGAAGACAGATATTAGTCTGGGGAGGCAGGGGAGACACCCCCAAAGCAAGGCCCAGGAGAAGAAGGGAAAGCCCGAAATACCAGACTCAGAGATGTCGTCCCAGTAAGGAGAGTCAAACTCGTACTCGGCCTTCAAAATCTGTTCAAAGAGCTTGGCATCATTCTCGTCATAGAAGGGGGGGTAACCGCAGAGCCTGGGCAGGGAGAGACTCAGCCTTATTTCCATTCTCGGTGCACCCACTGGCTCCCGGATGATGTCCTGGGGCAGTCCCAGGGGTCAGGTAGGGCCTGTGGGAGGGAGGTCCCCTCTAAAATCTCCCTGCCTTGCTCACTCCTGTCCAGCTACCCTTGACCATCTCTTCCTTGACCATCTCACCACCTTGTCCTGTTCAGGGTCTTTGCACTCGCCGTTCTCTGACTAAACCATCCTGTGCCACCTCAAATGGCTGGTTCCCTCATTTCACTTAAGATACCGCTTGGGGCTTGAACAGCAGTCTGCAAGGCACTTCCAGCCGGGAAGGTTCCTGGTTCACATCTGGGGACCTCCCTGGCCCTGAATATGCTGGGCATCCATTTGCCCTTGAACCAGGGCTGGCTGAAAGCTGGGGTGTGGATTGCAGTGTCAAAATCCTGTTGGGGGTTTCTCTCTCTGTCTCTCGGAAGAAATAAATTTTAAAAATTAAAAAAAAAAAAAAAAGACCACTCAAATAGCTTCTCCACAGAGAGCCCTTATCTGAACTGGCTTCCATCCCCACTGATTCTCCTTAGCCCTGACAATAGTTTAGATTTACTTGTCGACTGCCTTCCCAACTAGAATACTGCTGCCTGAGGGCAGCCACTTTGGCCTGTTCTCCGCTAAATGCCTAGCTCTGTGCCTGAACTATAGTATCTGCTGAGTGAAGTAATACTAGTAATTAATCGGCAGGACTAACGGGATAGCGAGGAGGAGAGGGAAGCAGGGTGGGGACAACTGGAGCCACACCCCACCCTGGCCAAGCCCCCACGTACAGGATGTAGGCGATGACCCCGATGGACCAACAATCCACAGCCTTGCTGTAGGGCTTCTGGGCCAGGACCTCAGGGGCTGTGGACGGAAGGGGACACGGTGGAGACAGATCTTGGCCCCGCGGCTCCTGGCTCCTCCCCGACCTGCAGCCCCAGCCCAGGGCCCTCCGCACCCACGTATCCTGGGGTCCCGCAGGCGGTGGAGAGCACGCTGCCTGGGTCCTCCATCTTGGACAGGCCGAAGTCGGAGATCATGATCTTGGAGTCCTCGTCCAGGCTGTAGTAGAGCAGGTTCTCGGGCTTGGGGGGCAGGAGGCAGAGGGGCAGTCAGAGATGGCCAGCGGCTGCGGGACCTCGTGCTTCCTCAAGCGCCCTGAGAAACTGGGTCCCCA